GGGGGGGGGTGCCTCTTGACAATCCACTCCTGTTCTCCTTTCTTGAAAAGGGAGAGTGAAAACGTACAGGTACAGGTGCCTGGTGCCTCCATTATGGCTCCATGGGGGGGGGAGGGGGGCTGGATTTTGATCATGGCTGTCTGTGCCAGATCCAATACTATATATTTATTTATCCATGCAAGCCATTGCACACTCCTTCGTTTCCCTTTTGTTTAGCCAGAAGAGATGTTGCTGTTGTTTTGAGTGGGAGCTGGTCTTCCTTCAAAGATAAAACCAAACGAGATAAAACAGGACTGGTTTTGTTTTGTTTTTTTGCAGGGCGGAGGGGGAAATAGGGAAAGGAGATTGATTTCTCATCTTCCTTTGCTGCTCTCCTCGCCCCCACCTATCCAACCAACCTCTCTGGCTTCATTTGTAACCCCCAGATGGTGCTGAGATCACCCGGAGACATCTATGGCTTTATAAATTAAAAACAGTTTGAAGAGAGAAAGGAATTATTGAAAGAAAGTCGTTTTTATCTGGCTGGAATGATGCACAGAATGGATATCACCTTCCTTCCTTTGTCTTCTTTCTAAGAGTCTCATTTATTACAACTATTTATTTGTTTATTTTCTTCCAGCATCCAAACATTCTAAAAACGAATAGTTTCTTCTCTTTCCTCGACACCAACAGATCCAGCTGGGCAGGCAAACCCACCCCATGCAAAAGCCAATAGAATCCTTAGTTGTTGGTGCAGCCATTGGGGGTTTTCAATTCAATGTGTGGAGTGTGAAGGATGTGTGTGTTTGTGGTTATTTTCATGGTCATGATGTGCACTGAAGATGGAGTTTGATTTCGTTGCATGAGGTGCAAAGACAATAAAGTAAACTAACTAAAACTAATTACCTAGTTGGGTAATGAAGCATCTGCAAGCAAACAGCTAAGCTCAGAGGCCACCAAGGACTCCATAGGAGAAATGCCTTCTTCACCTTCTTCAATTTTGTAATTCCTGTTCTGACCCAAACCCTTTTCCAATAAGACAAACGATAACCAAAGGGAACAGAAACCTTTTAATGAGTCTTACAAATCCCCGGTTAAAAGGCTGTTACAAACTAATTAACTTTGATAAGCACAAACCTTGCCAAAACTGTACAGGACTGCCAAGAATCACAGATAAGAAATATTTCACAACAGAAAAGAGTCTTCAAATACCAACTTAAGATACTGTAATGTCCATGAGACTGAGTTTCAAAACTTATTTGCTTCCTGCAAAGGACAGTCACTTCACAGCTGGGTTTTATCTTCTTGATGGAGGGGCCATTACCTTGCAGCCTTACTCCCAAATCGCCCGTGCTGTTGCAGCTGCTCTTTCCTGCGAGCAATCCTGCGCGCGCGTGCATTTGGCACAGGCTCCTCAGGAACCTATTCATCGCTGCTGCCAGCCCTCACAATCTCTGAAGGCAGCAGTCCACTCCCTAATGGTCCTGGCCCCTCACCTGAGCTCTCCTCAGCCGTCCTCACGTGCTGCCAGCTAACCACAACAAATCCTGAATGCAATGTTAAATACCTCTGTCCGAATAAATAAATTGAGTGGCATGTCTCATTTCTCAAATTTTTTTTGGATCTACAGGTGAATCTTTGAGCTTCGCCGATGATTTACTGTCCGGACTTGGAACTGCTTGCGTTGCTGCCGGGAGGACTCACAGGGATGGCCAAGATGCCAGCCTTTATTCTGTCATTTTCAAATGCTTGGAGCCGGATGGATTATACAAGTAAGCCATGGGAAGACAGGGATGGAGGGAGGTTATGTCAATGAAGATTCAATCATCCAAGGTGTCCAAAGGTGTCCAAAGTTTGAATCGTGGTAACTGGACCAAACTTTGTTAATCTGAGACCTTTTGTTGCTCATCCTCATGAGCCATGGTGGTGCAGTGGTGAGAATGCGGTACTGCAGGCTAACACAACTGCCCACTGCCAGGAGTTCGATCTTGACCGAGGTTGACTCAGCCTTCTGTCCTTCTGAGGTTGGTAAAATGAGGACCCAGATTGTTGTGGGCAATAGGCTGATTCTGTAAACTGCTTTGAAAGGGCTGTAAAGCACTGTGAAGCAATATATGTCTAAGTGCTATGGCTATTGCTTCCTTCCTTCCTTTCTCTCCCCCCTCTTTTCTCCTTCCTTCCTTCCTTCTTTCATTCCATCCACCCTTCCTTTCTTCCTTGCCATGGTAGTGCAGTGGTTAGAATGCAGCAATGGATACAAACTCTGCCCATGGCCAACAGTTCAATCCTGGCTGGCTCAAGGTTGACTCAGTCTTCCATCCTTCTGAGGTCAGTAAAATGTAGACCCAGATTGTTGTGGGCAATAGGCTGACTCTGTAAACTGCTCTGAGAGGGCTGTACAGCACTGTGAAGCAATATATAAGTCTAAGTGCTATTGCTTCCTCCCTCCCTTCCTCCTTTCTCTCCCCCCTTTTCTCCTTCCTTCCTTCCTTCCTTCCTTCCTTCCTTCCTTCCTTCCCTCCTTCCTTCCTTCCTTCCTTCCTTCTTTCCTTCCTTCCTTCCTTCCTTCCTTCCTTGCCATGGTGGTGCAGTGGTTAGAATGCACCACTGAATACAAACTCTGCCTCTGGCCAGCAGTTCGATCCTGACCGGCTCAAGGTTTATTTAGCCTTCCACCCTTCTGAGGTCAGTAAAATGTAGACCCAGATTGTTGGGGGCAAGAGGCTGGCTCCGTAAACCACTTAGAGAAGGCTGGAAATCACTGTGAAGCGGTATATAAATCTAAGCATTATTGCTATCGCTGTCCAAGCCACTTCCATCAGTCGGAGCAAACTTAGTTAGGCAGAGCGTCCGCCTCCACTTCCCTGGGTGTCTCTCTTGTAAGTTACTTGCTTCTCCACTTCTTGAAATAAAACATGTTTCGTTGGAAACTATTGAAGCTGTCGACAATTCCATAGGGAGGGTGTGTTTTGAAGTTGCCTGTCAGGCGGACACGTGGATGCTGAGTTGTGCATTCTCCCAATACCGCTCTATCCCTTCTTTGGGTAACACAATCCAAAGGCCAATTTGGGAGTTGAGTAACCTCTTTCATCCCCTCTTTTGCAAATTCCATAAATATTATTTAACGTCCTGGCTGTTTGCATTGTCCGCATTTGGACTTACCTCAAGCAATGAGTCCCTGCAATTGATCCAGTCCCATCCCTTCCCTTCCCTTACACATGTTTCCTTCCTTAGATCAAAGCCAAGCTTGTGGCCTCTGAGAAGAAACAAACAAATAGAGCATGATGGATTTCATAGCCTTTTCAACATCTGACATTTTGAAGAAACAAACAAAAACATTTCTTCCTTTCTTTTTTGGCCAAAAGGCTAGCTAGGAGATTCGTGTTTGGGGTTTGAAGAGGAGGAGGAGGAGGAGACAGGAGGAAGAGAAGACAGGAAGAAGAAGAGGAGGAAAAGGAGGAGGAAGAAGAGGAATCAAAAGGAGAGGGAGGAGAAGGAGATGGAGAAAGTGAAGGAGGAAAAGGACAAAAGGAAGGAGGAGGAAGAGGAAGAGGAGACAGGAGGAGAGGAGGAAGTTGTGTCAGTGATTCTTATGTTTGCTTGGAGAGTCCAGAAGGATCAAACAGATGATTTTGACATAAATTATGCCTTCCAGGTGACTCAAGGTTGCACAATCTTGATCAAGCCACCCTTTGTCATTCAGGGGTATGGCACGCCTAATAATAATAATAATAATAATATCAATATCCTAGATCCTCGGGGAAAATTCAGTGCAGAGTATTGAAGGGCAACATCAGTTAAAGAACTGGCAGCTGTGGAGCAGCTGGCTTTCATGCCTGAAATGGGACTAGAACTCATCATTTCCTAGCGATTGACCCCAAGTCACCAGACGGCTTTCGTACCTAAAATGGGACTAGAACTCACCGTCTCCTGGTATTTGGCCCCAAGTCACCGGACAGCTTTCGTACCTAAGACAGGACTAGAACTCGCCGTCTCCTAGTGATTGGCCCCAAGTTACCCAGCCAGTTTTTTATGCCTAAAATGGGACTATAACTCACTGTCTCCTGCTTTTTAGTCCGGTGCCTTAACCACTAGACCGAACTGGCTCTCGCCCTTTCTCCTGCAGAAATGAAAATAAGTTTCTAACTCAGAAGTTTCTTCTTTCTCCTCTTTTCTGTTTCCTTGGTGTTTTCTCCTAATCTCAGGAATGAAAAAAAAATTGTTTGCCATTCTCCCGCCCCCCTCAGAAAAAATAATAATAAATGAAGCTCTTGGCCATTATCTGTCTAGCCTCCAGCTGTACCCAGGAGCTGCGTGCGCTGTATTCGTCTCTTGTTAGGAAGATAAATCAAGGAAAGTGGCTTGGAAGTATAAGCAGAGAAGACAAATTAGCCAGTGTTTAGAAGTTCTGTAGAGGAGAGATAACATGGATTCTTCGTGGTTTTCTTCTTTTTCTCTCTTTCTCTCTCTACTGCTTCTCTGGAAAGAATAGCCGGGGAAAGGTTGGTAGGAGGGAATAAAACATGGGTATTTATCTGCCTAGTCCCCCCTTGATAAAGCTTCGTTGATTGATAACCCCAAATTGGAACAGCATTCATCCTTCCCTTATCTCATTCTGGCTCTTCCCAACCTCCCCCATGTATAGGAAGCTAATGCAATGAAATAAATCTTTCGTAATCCTATATCCCTCCAAAAGTAGGAAGGGGAGCGGAGAGAGGAGCTAAGAAGACAAGAACGGACAGTGGTTTGGTTTCCTTTCTAACTTGAAAAAAATGTTTCATCAACCTCAAGAGCCGGTTTGGTCTGGCTTAAGTTAAGGAGAAAAGTGGTGACTGTTGAGGTCTAGTTCCACTTTAGTTGTGAAAGCCAGCTGGGTGACTTGGGGCCAATCACCAGGAGATGGTGAGTTCTACTTCTACTTTGAAAGCTGGTTTGGTGACTTTGGGCCAATCACTAGGAGATGGTGAGTTCTAGTCCTGCCTTAGGCATGAAATCTAATTGTGACTTTGTACCAATCACCAGGAGATGGCGAGTTCCAGTTCTACTTTAGCCTTGATAGCTGGCTTGGTGACTTTAGATCAATCACCAGGAGATGGTAAGTTCTAGTCCTACCTTAGCCTTGAAAGCTGGTTTGGTGACTTTGGGCCAATCACCAGGAGATGGTGAGTTCTAGTTCTACCTTAGCCTTGAAAGCGAGCTGGGTGATTTTAGACCAACGACCAGGAGGTGGTGAGTTCTAGTCCTGCCCTAGGCATGAAAACTGATTGGATGACTTTGGGTCAGTCCCAGGATTGTTGTTGTGGAAAAAAATAGGAGAAGGAAGATGTGTTGGATATGCTCGCTACCTTGAGCTATTTGTAAAAATGATAAAGGTAGGATATAATAAATAAATAATATCTTGTAGCACTCTTGTTCGTGGCACTGTCTTTCATATGTGCTACCTGAACACCATGGATAAACATTTAAAGGATGGGAAGTTTCCTTTGAACGTCCTTTCCAATTTTCATATTGTTTTTCTAGAAGGACATCTATCCTTCCATTTGAGATCGCACACAAGGTGTACTGTACCCTAAACCCACAATGGGTACATTTTCCACCCAACCACTTCCTTGCTGATTAAACTAAAAAGAAATTGCTTTTAGTTCCTCTCTCCCCAGCAGAAGAAATATCTTACTTTATTTTATTTATTTATTTGATTTGCCAATTGTTTACAAGATAATAAGTATAAGTGTATACATAGTTGTGAATACATGAGATGGGTACATATAAGAAAAATAAAAGAAGAATAAGAGAAGCAATAGGACAGGGACGGTAGGCACGTTGGTGCGCTTGTGCACGCCCCCTAAATATCTTACTTTTCATTGTAGTGGCAGTGCCCAATGCTACTAAATAAATACTACATTGCTCTGAGACACAGCTAGGTCAGGGAAGTTAAGAGGAAATTGAGGAGAGGGGTGAGATTTTGCTATTTTAGGTAACCTTCTAGTTATACACAACTGTGGTTTCAGCCTTGCAAGACCCACAAGAGGGCAGTGTCATAGAAGATGGGAGAATCAAGGAATGGCATCTTCTCCATGATGTCATCATGAACTGTCAAACCATTCATCCTTCTAATCCAGCCCTGTATGGTTTGTCCATTACTTGTTCTCTTTTACCAGTGGTTAGATCTGCATTCTTTTGGTCAAAGACATATGTATTCTTCCAACAAATTGGCTGGTTTTGGCTTATCGCTGGGGCAGAAATCTTCCTTCCTAAAGAAGACTTCAAAACGGGTGAATCATTTTTAGTGGACAGCCTGCAAAATAACAGAACAGAATAACAGTATAGCAAAAATTGGAGGCCTTCTAGTCTCACCCCCAGGCAGGGAACCCTGGACAATTTCAGACAAACTGCTGTCCAATCTCTTCTTAAAAGCCTCCAGTGGTGGATCACCCACAACTTATGGAGTTTAGAAAGTTATGGGAGAACATAACTGTTGTTCCAATGGTTCATTGTCTTCACTGTTAGGAAATTTCTCCTTAATTTCAGATTGCTTCTCTCTTTAATTAGTTTCTATCCATTGTTTCTTGTCCTGCCTTCTGGTGCTTTGGAGAATAATTTGACCTTCTCTTCTTTGTGGCAGCCCCCCAAATACTGGAATACTGCTATCATGTCACCCCCCAATTCTTCTTTTCGTTAGACTAGCCAGATCCTGCAGCTGTCAACCCATAAAACATTCCTATGCCTGTTTTAGTAGTTGCCATAAAATAAAAGAGGGGGGGAGAAAGGAAAT